ACTGCAACGGAGTTGTTCTACAGGCCGTCAAGTTTAAGGGATGCTGGCTTCCATGGACAGTTGAAGAGGTGGTGTGTCGTGCGGACTAGCGTTACAGTTTGGGCAGTTGTTTTTGATGTTTTATCCAATCTCGACAGATAGTTATTTAATTGTGTGCTATACCCTCAGCTGAGTTGAGTAAGAGTACGTCGTGAACTTCTGGGAAGCCTGTTTTCTTCCGAAACTATTGCTGGAGTTTGAGAGCCCAGCAGTTTAGAGCGATATTTGGTAACGTAGTTTTTCACCTCATTTGAATGAATTGTTTCAGGAGCGACTTGGTATTGATCTGGTGTTAGGTGTTCATTTTCATCAAAAAGTTTTTGGATGTTGCCATAGTATTTTTCGGCAAGGGTTGGTTTTCTTTGTCTCGACATCGGGCTGTGTTTGGTTGTGTGGTGATCACATTGATCTCGTTGATGGCAGCCGGTTGGAAAATGTTTGCTCATTATTTCATTGTGTTCTTTTGCAGGCAGTATCTGAGTTTCACAATTCTAAGTTCTGTGTTTTGTCAAGTGTGAAGGTCTTTTCAGCGAGAATCACTTTTTGAAGTTGTCCATACAGGAGCTGGGTAATTCAGAAAATACGCACAATCGCCTTATATGTAAAACTTAGAGTTTCTTTGCTGCATCCCGAGCTTGTGCCTGAGACCTTTTTCAGTAAGTAATTGCGTGGTTGGATTTTATTTATCACTGTGGTAATGTGTTCAGTGAAAGTAAACGGGTTATCAAAGGTGACTCCTAGAATTTTAGGTTTTTGAATAGTGGGTAATGGGCTGAACATTTGTCTGCAGACAGTTTTAAATTGCATTTCTGAAGCCAATTGTATGGAGTACTTAGATAGGGCATTACCTCTAGTTCAAGTTTAGTGGTTTTCAGACCAGTGGTGGTGACAGAAATGTCATCTGCATATGTGGTTCCTATGGTGTTTTCAACACATGGAAGGGGCATTGATGACATTTAAATATTGAACAGAATTGGCGACAAGGCTCCTTCTTGAGGTACACCTTGTTTCATTCGTCGCATTTTTGATTTTTCGCTTCTTAATGCAACATAAGTTGCCCCACCTTGTAAAAATGATGTAATCTATCTTTGTGTGCTGTTTGGAAGAGACGACTTTTCAAGATCAAGCAGAAAGATACCGTGATCCACTGTGTCCAAAGCTGCAGTAAGATCTAAAGCAACTAGGAGTGTCCTGTGTGGAGGAAGAAGTTGATTTAGTCCGTTTGTTATAACAGTCGCTATGGAGTGTAAGGCACTGTTTGTTGACCTTTGTTTTCGAAATCCGTGCTGATGATCTGCTAGTGGGTTGTTGTTGAAGTCATCCAGCAGGATTCTTTCAATCAATTTCGCTACTGGGGATAAGAGGGCTATAAGTCAGTAGATTTTTGCTTCATCTTTGCTTTTGCCCAGTTTCAGTAAGGGAAAGAGTCTACAGACTTTTCAGTTTTGCGGAATGATTGAGTAGTTGAGAGTGAGTGATATTATTTAAGTAAGGAACCCTTTATCACCGTGATAGTGAAGATGAAGAGCGGCGATATTAACGGGCCCTAAAGCTTTGCTTTTCTTGTTCAGTTTTATTTTGTTTGTGACGACCTGTGGGATAACTATTAGAACTTATGACGAATTTCTTTCAATCTGTGGAGAGTTCTCTGTTTCTCTTTATTTGGAAAGGGCGGATGAGGGCTGTATTGCTGAGGAAAGTGATTGACCCACATTTCTGAATCATAAACTGGTTTGTTATTGAAGTTTATCGGTTGGTTTGTGTGTTGTCAGCTGATTCGCCCGCTAAGGAATTGACAATTTTCCATAGTTTGTGACTAACTCCTCTGTGGGTGACGGCATTAACAAACTCAATCCTTTTACTGCGTTTGTGTCTATTCACAATGTCATCGATTTCTTTGTTCAACAGGGAAAAATTAGGGTCCCCAGGATTAATTGATTGAAGTTCGTCTCTAGTCTTATAAAGCTCTGCAGCTTGTTTTGGAAAGTATGGTCTGAATTCTTTGATGCGGCCATGTGTAATGTGCCATTTGGTTGCCTTTATCAAAACTTTGCGGAATTTAGCTTCTTTTTCAACCACTGTTTTGGGTGATCTGCATTTGCCAAAAGCTAATTCAGAAGAATCGCGAAATCCATTCCAGTCTGCATTCTTGAAGTTAATTAAATTTGTTTTTGTTGGTTCAACAAGATCGACATCAAAAGTTAGTATTAGCAAATATGCCAGATTACCAGAGCCAAGGCAAGACTCTGTGGTCCAGCTAATATTCATCACAAGGTTGGCGCTTGCAAGCCTTATGCCGGATGAACTTACGCAATTGGAGGTTACTTTATTAGGGACATTCTCATTTAAGACTAGTTGGTCTGAGCCATCTATTTCTTCGGCAAGTGCAGTTTCTTTTGCATCCTCCTCAAAATCAGAGAACCAGAGATGGTTATGAGCATTAAAATCACCGATTATTAGAGAATCCTTATCGTTGAATAGTTGATTTATGGATGCGGTGTATATATGCGGTTGATTTAATAGTCGCAGCTTGAGTGTGGTGGGATGTAAACATTAATTAGGTTTTTGTGACTTTGTCCCGGTTTTTTTAAAATTCCGCAGTTTTCTATGTGTGGGTCTTGAGGGTTCATTGGTATTTCAAGTTCTTAATGCCCAACGTTGTTTTAAATGAGAAAGACAAACCTCAAACCTCCACCTTACCTTTTTCCGGGTTACGGTTCTTAGTTAACATTGAGTAGCCTGGAGGTGCTTTACAGGTGGCTTTATCAAGGAGTTTGATTTCATGAAGGACTGCAACAGGTATTTTGTTGGTTTCCATGAAGTAAACGATGTTGTTAAGTCTTGGGCGTAGGCCACTTCATTTAGTTGTAGGAGTTTGAATTCTTTGCAGCCGTTTTCTTCATTGCTTGGTTTCGGGGGCTTGTTTTTTGGGTGTTGGTTAGCTTGGTTTGGTGTAGTCGTTTTGATGTTGACAGTAAGAGCAGTTTTGACAGTAGTGCAAGAGAGGTGCACCCATCCGCCGAAGTGGCACCAAACGCTTTTGTGAGCTCTCATTAATTTTTAACACAGATAGGGCAGATGTACAGCGGTCCTGGGTTCGATCTATGCCGGCTCTTAAGAGAAGGATGTTATTGATTGATCGAACTGAATAGTAGGGGAACGTGGTCGCTGGTTTTCTCCGTTCCCTGATTAAAAACACGAAATGGGCAACAATTTTCCTATTGCAGAAGGTTTGTACAATATTTGAGCCATGCTGTGAGGCATGACGTAGATACTACCGCGAAGAGACACTCGTACTTCGGTATCCAAATACTTTTGATCATCACTTTTCGGTTTTCAAATAATTTGATCATTTTTCTACTTTGCCTTTTTTTGAAATTTGTAACAAGCCATAACTAACCCTGGGTAGAGCTGGCTAATGTACATTTATTATCCAGTTTTCAATGCGAAAAACTTTAAACCATGATATTTTTTTTTAAAAACTACTACAACATGAATCAAGCTAAGCGGGCGAGAAACGAGTTTAATTCTGAGACTAGCGATTTAGTTTGATTTAATGAGAGAAGATAATGGTGCCAATTAATTGCTTGAGTAATGACTTAGGCAGCTTTTACCCTTTTCTTTCAGTAAACTTTTACTCTTACCACAGCAATTGAATTGTAATGAAAATCCCAGTTATATCTAAACCAGTAATTTAGAATAAATCTAATCGCCATAAGGACGCCTCTCCTCGTTGACTACTGGACTCTCTAATAATAGACAAGATTTTTGCTCATTTTTACTTGTATATTTGACCGACTGAAAAAAAAAAATTTTTTTTCTAGGGCCACTATTAAATTTTGACGGCGGAGAGCGTTTTATAAAGTACTTCCAGAGAAGACTCAAGTCCATATTTGAAAAAAAAAACCGAACCACGAGGCAGATATGTCCGCCAAGCTAGGATATATTGTCGCTTCCGTATAGCTCGGAAGTTTAAACAAACCTTCAAAAAATTGACAAAATTTTTCAATTTGCTTTCCAAAATCTGCTTACCACACAACAAAATTTCAAAAACAAGATTTAATATGATTTGTAGCCTTATTGAAGCCAACTGTTAGGTCGTTAAACTGATGGGTTGTTGGACTGGGGACGGGTAATTCGTTAAATCGAGGAATCGTGGTGAGTCATTGAAAAAAAAAACATGATAATTTGTACACAATTAAGCCAAATTTTTGGCTAATCTTGGGCAATCGGGCTGGGTGTGTTAAAAGCTCGACATTTTTCACTTGAAATGACTGGACTCTCGTTGCGATCTGACACATGAATTGTCTGTGATCTACCCCTTAGTCCGCACTGGAACCGCAACATTTAGCAATTTTAGCACCGATCTATAATGGCTGCAAACCCGAGCTTGCTGTATAGGCTAGATGGCCATGGGCCTAAATGGTCATTAGCCAGCCATAATTTTCAGAGGCGGGTAGACGTGGTGCTCATGCAAGATCCAGCGAGCGCTGGACTGCGAGTTGAGGGGGGGGGGGTGCGGGTAGGAGCTGAAAGGAGTTGAACTTAGGGCATGCCTTTTTTTCCAATGTTTGCTGGATCGGCGGCGGGCATTTGCAGGACATTAGCACCCATTTGATGAGAAAGCTCGATTCTTGTACGCCTTTTATTAGACTCAAATAAAGGCTTAGCGACTCAGGTTTTATGAGACGATTTTTGGATTTCTCTATCCAAATTAATTGAAGGTCACAGATAAAAACAACAATATAATAAGGTGAAAAGGTTCCTCTTACCTCTCAGCTTTGGTGATTCAGATGAACTTTGACACTTTCAACCGAATTAAGAAATGGTTAAAATCGGCTCACAAATACAATTTTACATACAATGTGGTTCTGGCTGTCATGATGAACAAAAATGCGCTGGTTTTTCACCACATTTGTTAAATATGTCATGATAATTAAAAAGGCGAAGAGCAAACTTACAGTCAATTTGTGTGGCGTTCCAAACGTTGGTTGAGTGAAATTGGTGTGTTGTTTTCTGTGTAGATTAGGCGAAATTTGCCGATCGTGCGAGTGACTAACAACCCAGCCTCTTTCCTGTGGGGGCGAGTCTTGCGAAAGGGGATGCCGCCTTATTGATGGTTGGAATGCAATTCGTGAGCTGAATTGGCGATTGTGCTATTTGAGCGTGTGTTAGCAATAATTACGACGCAATAGTATATTTGGACGTGTGTGGTGTCTCTCGATACTTTTCAAATATTCGCAAATCGTACCGTAATCTGCAATTCAGATATTACATCCGGGAGGTTTGCAAGCGCAAGTATAGACAGACAGTAGTTACTCGCTCTATCTGATTTTCTTTCTATGAGTGTTTTCCCGCAAAAACAAGCTCTACTATTTTACTACAACTATCACTTTCTAACTCGACGCATTCAGATACGTCGTGGTCTTATGCTTGCATATACTCTACTCTTTTCTACAGGTCACTCTAATTTATCTTCATAGTCCCGGTTGTTCAATTCAGTTCACAAACCAACCAAATAACCCCAGCCGAACCCAACCAACCCCCCTCACCTTTTCCCTCACCCTCCGAACCCCCAACTCTGGCCATTTCTCAGCCTTCTGGGGCCATAACTCGCCCCATTTGTAAGTTTTCAGTATCATATAGGTCCAAAAGAACCAACTAATCACTAAAGTGTTTAAACGCCAACTTTTAGGTCAAAAATTGCCACAAAACGGCAAATTTGGATCAAAGTTTGAACCTCAATGTTCGTTCGCAGGTATTTTATCAATAAAAACAATTTATTGCCAAAATATATATGATTCTCACCCAATTATTCGGAATTTTCCTAATCATTTATTATTCTTCCATATTTTTTTTATGCAAACGGACTTATAGTTTGTTCACATGAACTATGAACAATAGCAAAGAAGCGTATGGAAAAGTTAAATGAACTCCTACCTGTTTTCTTCAATTTGAATGCTGTAAAAAGAAAATTCCACAGTTGAATGTCGTGTTAAAAGGGGAAAAAATTGAGTTTGTTATTTTTAATTTTCACAAACTGCTTTAGCCGAAATACTAAAATGGCAAACTGGACTTGAATTTCTTTTCCATGCGTATTTAACCATACAAATGGGATACGAAATACGAAAAGAACTGCAGTACGTGTATTATTGGAAGCGTTCTTCGTAAGATAAGATGATCTGGCGTGGTAGTAAAAGTCTTAATAGAGGACGGATAAATAAGACACAATACGCAAATTAAACAAACGACAAATTAGGATACAAATAATAATACCTACAGTAATAGCCGAGGCGACAAAAACACGAATTGGAATTATGCAAATTCAATTAAGAAAAGAAAGCACCGAATTTATGCAGTACAAAACAATGTAATGGTAAGATGACTAATCATTTTGATTTTATGAGTCGCTGCCATTTTCGTTGTCACTGTCTCGACAAAAATAATTTAAAAGTGTTCAAATTACTAATTGATTTCTAGCGATTTTGAAAACAGGCTTCTTTCGTTTTACTCAAAACGTGTATAAGCATAATCTATTCATTAAGCCATTGAGCGTTGGCTCACTTTAATCTCCCCGTCCCGGGTTAAAGTGATCACAGAGATGTTCTTCAACCCATAATCTGTAGTCAAAAATAGCTCTTTTGGTCAAACACAAAACCGAAACCCGAGCCAATCAAAATGGGTAGATTGGGACCATTGCGACTCAAAATAGATATGTTGCGAAAGGGTGCGAAACAAAAAAAAAGTGTCGCCTGCATGCCTAGGCCTCGTAATGTATGTCGAAACAGCCGGACTGAAAAGAGGGCTACATTTGATCTTATGCAAGAGTGAGAGGAGCAATATTTTGTCAATAGAATTGAACAAAAAAAAGAAAGAGAAAGATTGTTAAGTAGATCCCGGGTCGAGGTCGGGGACTTATGTTGCGACCATTGCGACCCAAAACTGATATGCTGTGACTTTGCGCGACCTAAAACAGGTATGTTGCCACCATTGCGACTGAAAATGGGTGTTGTGACTTTGCGCGACCGAAGCAATTTGCGCGACTTTGCGCAACCGAATGAATTCATGTTGCGAATTTGCGCGACCCAAAAAATGTATATTGCGACAATGGCAACTCAAAATGGGTATGTTGCAATTTTGCACGACCTAAATGTATGTTTGAGCGACTTTGCCCGACCAAAATAAAACTCAAAAACTTTGCGCAACTCAAAAACAATATGTTGCGAATTTGCACAACCAAAGTGTTTTGTGCGACTTTGCGCGAACCGGAATGAGGTTTGCAATCGATTTTCCGACCGTCTCGAACCAGGCTCTCAATATGTTTTAACTGACCCAACCCAATGTGTCTATCCCGGGCCGAGGTTTTGACTTGATGTTTCGACCTGCGGGACCAAAAATGTCTATGTTTGGACCGGCGCGACCGGCGCAAGTATGTTAGTCTAGCTAACTGCGCATTGAAAAAATACCCGCATCCAACTTCAAGCGTTAATAATTGATTATATTACAATTTTAGTACCAGTCTCACTAAAATTGAGAAACAATCGGTTTTAATCAATTAATAATCGATTATAATCTCTTTTTTTGAAATCAAACTATAATTAATTATAATAAATTTGAATTGATTATAATCAATTATTTATTCGTCTACTTTTCGATACAATTATAATCAATTAAAATCGATTATAATCCATTATTATTATTCCAATTTCTAATTCATGATTTTTGCACAATCCAATAAAATCGACTATAATTGATTATAATCACTTTTGTTTGTCCATTTTGTCTTCAAAGTTGCTTCCAAATTGCTTATATTTTATGCTTTTTGTAGACGTTGGTTCCTATGAAAAATGAGAAAAATGTTTTTAAAGTTTTCAATTCAATTCAAGTTTTTTTTTTCATTTCTTGCCCATTAGAGTTGTTTTGTGGTGCACATTTTAAGCTTTTCAACCATCAGAACATCAGGAAATTGATTTACTTTCATGATTGATTCGGAAGATTTATTTTTCATCTACTGTGAGAAACTTTCCACTAATATGAAAGGATCTTTGTTTGGTAAAACTTTGTGTTCAGATGAACCAAAGTGTTCAAGAGATCTCTCTTTTACAGATTTTGTTATTGACACAAAATTAATAACCCATAAATAATAATTCGATTATAATTGACTTTATGGGTTTTTTTCTAAGACTTACAATCACTTATAATCAATTACAAGAGGTTATAATTTTTTGGAAAATATCACGATTATAATCAATTATAAATCCTTCAAACACCTAATTTTGATAATATAATCAATTATAATTTTCAAAAATTAGCAGAATAATCCGTTTCAATCGATTACTTTTGCCTAAACTTCAATACAGGTATATATACTGGAATATTTTGCAGTATGCATCTGTATTATGCTTGTGCATTTCGGTCGCAACGTGAGTCGCAGACCTCGGCCCGGGATTCAGTTAGCCTAGATTTTGACCGATCAGAATGTAGCAAAATTAGAATTCTCAATAGAAAGCTCTAGTGATATTTCACTGTATTTATTAAGGGATGGAGATCCTTAAGTAGATACCATATGGGTAAGATGCTTAAGTAAATCCCTTTTTTCGCTCGACCAAAAAGTTTCCTCTCAATTTTGCGCCACACAAAAACAATGCTGCGACTTTGCGCGACCAGAAGCTTTCTGCATCACTGTGCGATCGAGAAATCTCTTCGCAACTTTGCGCAAAAATGAAGGATATCAGCAAGTTTGCTGAGATTATTTTCCAGCTTTTTTTCTGTATGGTGACGACTTTGATCTACCTAACTTCACACCAAAAACACATATACAATGGAATAAGTTGCATTTTGCATCTGTTTTACATTTTTGCAAGCAAAAAATTCCCGGTATAAAGTGCGCGACTTAAGTCACGACCATGGTGACCCAAAAATAGTCAGGTAAAATTGTTGCGACTCACCATGAGGTAAGTAGCAACCAAAAATTATGTAAGTTTGCGCGACCAAACATATAAATCCAAATTCTGCGCTACTAAATATGTTGGCGTAGCTTTGAACGACTAAAAAACTGCGAAGCAATTTTGGCGCGATTTTGCCGTGATCAAAATTTTTTGACGCGATATTGATAAATTACCAAACTTCTAAGTTCATGTGCAACACTATGTCGAAACTATGGCAACACTATGCCGAAATACGATGCGGCCATTGCAGATGTGAGTATACCCGCATGGATTCCGCACCGAGTTTTGTAAACACATGTATAAAAATGTCTGCACGGAAACCGTGTATTTACAAGCAAAAAGCGTGCTATGCAAAAGTACACGCGTGGACCTCTTAATGTAAGTCGAAATAGCCGGACTCGCAAGAGGGCTGCATTTGATCTTATGCGAAAGTAAGAGGAGCGATATTTTGCCCATAAAATTGAACAAAAAAGAGTTGAAGCAATAGATGACAAAAATCTTGAGACAATTCCCTTCTAAAAAAATCCGATCAATTTATAAAACGTTATAATAACTAGCAGAACAGCGTTATCTTACTCACCTTTTTGCTTAGTTATCAGAAACTCCAAAATCACTAAATTTTGACCCGCGAAAAAAATGGACCAAAATTGAACAACCTTTCAATCAAAAAAGCCATTTTGGTTGAAGTCGGTCGAAACTAAATTGAATCAAAAATAGACGATCACATTTTTTGTTCGGTCGAGTCATTCGAAACATTTAAAAATGCCAACAAAATTAATTTTTGTAAAGCGCGTACATTACAGCAAGCAACAAGTTTTTAATTCAAATCATATTAACTTTGAAAGAGTTCGAAATTTCGCATGCTTAAATTGAACACTGTTAATCTCATTTTGCTTTGCTCAAATCAGTCAAACTAAAACCACCAGTTTGGGCTAAAGTGCTCAAAAGTGCAGTTTTTGGTCTTATCAGTTGAACATACCTGATTTCTGAGATAATTCATGCTGAAAAAATTGGTGACTCTAAAATGAGTAATAAATATTAGCAGATAACTAAAATAATTAGGTTAAGATCTTTTGAATCGCGTAATTTATACTGTCACTGAAAACGTTTTTGTTCAAAGCAGAGCCAATTTTAGCAGACTTTGGCAGAAAATAGTTTGCCTGATGAAACATAGCCATTCACATTTGATTTCAGTCGGGTTAGTCGCAACATAGCCACTTTGGAAAGAGAAGGTCAAAGCATAACACGCTTTATTCCAACTCATTCAAGTGCTTTTTTCATTTAGTCGAATTGGTTGAAACAGTCAGTATTTGTCATAGCCCGCTTAAGTCGAAAACCATCGAACTCAAGTTTGTAGTTTTACCCACGTCAAAACATAGCCAGTTTTGGTCGAGTCGCTCGAAACAAGGCGCTCTTGAGTCGAACACAGTCCATCACAAATTCCATTTTGTCCAGTGGGTCGAAACATCAATTATGGGTGGAGATATTCTGAGCATAACTCGCTTGAGTCG